GATTTTCAAAAGTGTTAATTATCCTAGGCATTAGAATGAGTAAAAAGAGCTTGATTTTCCTCTGATTCCGCCTGATTCTGTGATCTGATACAAAGTTTCTATGATTCCACCTGATTCTGTGATCTGATACAAAGTTCAAAGAGGCAATGGAAGTCCTTCCAATCCATTAGTTTTAGGTGAGGCCCTTGATGCTTTGTCCTCTTTGGAAGTCACTGCTATCTCGCTGGTAACATCACAATTGGTTGCTAAGCAGATGGTTATAATGTCAAAAACAGAGGAGTGTGATGTCTGGGTGAGGACTATACAGTGGGAATATGCGAATATTGAAGAAATCTGTACAAACCAACACAATTCTTGAGCTGACTACGACAGTGTTTATGGGAGGTGTTGAACATGGAAAGGGATAAAGATTGTTCTTATTCCACTGGTGAGCTATAGAACACATTTCAGTTTGAGATGGAGAGTAATGCTATGAAGCATCAAGTCGATTTGCATTGCATGCCTCACACTCTTGGATCAAAACCACTGCAACTTCTGATTTCAATGGACTAAGTCAAGAAATTCACTCACTGGACTTTCCAAAGCATCCCTCCTCAGGCTTCTGCCATGTGAGAATGGTCTCCAGCCAGCTGGGTTTGTAGAAGTCAGAGAATCCAGCCATACCACAGAGCATAACTGAGGAGAGGAGGAAGAAAAGGACATGATAAACCCACAGTTCAAACACTACAGTATCTTTATAAGATCAGCCTTTAGAAAGAAAGACACTCAAATATCCTTGACTCAGAGGATTCATAATCCTGCCATCCAGTCCTATTAGAAAGACAGCAATCTGACAACTTGTAAATTCCTTTGCCTTCAGAAGGGCACTCATACAAATAAGAGATTGGGGCAGAAGACAGATTAGGGAAATTATTAGATTAAATAGTTTAACTCCTGGCTAATGAAATAATTTTTCTAATGTTTTTTACCATTTAGTTTTAAATGTCCCAAACAGCATGTCTCCCATCACGAAAGCCAAAAAATACCCTGTACCCCAAACTCAAAATTGGATGTCAAAGACAGGCTTGTAAATCCATGGGGGAGGGGGCACCTAAACAAATTTACAGATGTGCAAAACACACTGAAGTCATTGTATGCCGTGTTTCACAGCCATATTGGCTCCGGGACCAACTTTTGTTGATGTGAGAGATTAATGTTCCAATTTACAAAGAGTTGATGAAGAAGAGCTAAAGTTTGTCTCTCCTATCAACAGATGTTGGTACAATAAAAGCTATTCCCTTACCCACCTTGTCTCATTAAATGCATTGTCAGACAGAAGTTCCCACTGGCTTCCATCTGACAGTTTATTGAATACTATTGACTAAGGGTACGTCTAGACTTCCCTCTAAAATTGAAATAAGTTATGCAATTTGCACCATGCAAATTGTGTATCTTATTTCGATTTTATTTCAAAATAGGCTATTTCGAAATTTGGTGTGGCTACACGGCACCAAATTTTGAAAAAGCACTATTTTGAGACATCCCTTATTTTTTGTGGAATTAGGTTTAAAGGGATGCCAAAATTATTTCGAAATAGTGGACGAGTTCCTTGGACGTGGGGTAGTTATTTTGGGATACCTCTGGTATCCTGAAACAGCCTTGAAGTCTAGACATACATAAGAACATAACAACGGCCATACTGGGTCAGACCAAAGGTCCATCCAGCCCAGTAGCCTGTCTACCGACAGTGGCCAATCCCAGGTGCCCCAGAGGGAGTGAACTGAACAGGTACTGATCAAGCGATCTCTCTCCTGCCATCCATCTCCACCCTCTGACAAACAGAGGCTAGGGACAGCATTCCTTACCCATCCTGCCTAATAGCCATTAATGGACTTAACCTCCATGAATTTATCTAGTTCTCTTTTAAACCCTGTTATAGTCCTAGACTTCACAACCTCCTCAGGCAAGGAGTTCCACAGATTGACTATGTGCTGTGTGAAGAAGAACTTCCCCATATTTGTGTTAAACCTGCTGCCCATTAGTTCCATTTGATGGCCCCTAGTTCTTGTATTATGGGAACAAGTACAGTAAACTTCCGATAATCCGGCACCTTTGGGACCTATGGGGTGCCGGATTTTTGGATATGCCGGAGTATCAGCAGGTACTCCGGAAGG